ATTTTACTCATTTCCGCCAGGGCTCATTTGATAGTATGGTTCAAATTATATATATAGCAAAAGGTCAATCGTCCTTCCTCACAGATATCGTTATATATATATATATATATATATGTGTATATTTTTATATTTAATAGCGCATTTACACATGCTATGATATTATACACAGTATACAGATTAAAGAGAGTCCGCTTTTCTTATAAGAATAAAATAGACATAACAATTTACTTATGTAGTAATACTATCGAACTTTGTGACACAAGATAGTCTACATTACATATATAATTATTTCACACTTCACAGCAACAAGCATGTTACAGAATTTGTGACGTAAGATAGTCTACATTACAGTACATTTATAATTATTTCACAGCAACAAGCATGTTACAGAATTTGTGATGTAAGATAGTCTACATTACATATATAATTATTTCACATTTCACAGCAACAAGCATGTTACAGAATTTGTGACGTAAGATAGTCTACATTACATTACATATATAATTATTTCACAGCAACAAGCATGTTACAGGACTTGTGACGTAAGATAGCCTATATTACGTATTATTTAGTTAGAGAAGTGTTTAGAAACGACATTTACGTCGCAGTCCTGTAAACAGTGGCGAAGAATGGACGACTGAATATATACAGTGCGTGCAGAGAGAGATGCTAGGCTCAAAGAAGGGTTTGTGGATTCGTAAAATACGTCCTGAATTAAACGTTAATCACACAACTTCATCTTTGCTCTTGATAGTTAGAGAAGTTTAGCACTGACCAACTGTTACGCTCTCCACTCTCCAAATGTGAAGTTTTGTCGCAGATAGCGTAGTAATTATCATCATCCTAATTTTCGAACAGTCGATCACAGTGATATAACCTACTTTTACTTTATTATTAACATTATTAAATTTTTAAAAAACTTGAAATCTCCAATTTATAAATTTCAACTGACAGCACCTGGCGTTCAACATGCCAATATCCATTATCTCAGAATGTCTCAATCTTCCAGTGTTTTTAGCTTCGTTCTTAAAGTGCTGAAATCCTCAACTTCAAGGTCAAACTGCCCAACAGCGTAGTGCTGTGACATCTACATACACTGACTAATTGATTCCACCTCTTTCTGCTCTTCTTGTGGGGACATCGTAATTAACCAGAATACAGTTTATGTTTTAAAGCCTCCTTCAATGGTCTCTCATTTACCGGTCAGTGTCAATTCTGATAAGGCTCCGGGGATTAAAGCTGCTTGTAACGACGACTGTTATGCTCTACTCGCCAGACGATTCAGCCAAAGAATCCATTTATTTCCTCTGTTACTGACGATAAAATATGATCAAAATTTATTTCTAGTCAGCGATCCTCTGTTATTGGCGTTATAAGTCGACCATAATGTATATCTAGTCAGCGATCTTCAGGCTGACTACCTAGATCTCTGCTCTCACCGTGTTCTAAGGACGGGGATTTAACATAATTCAGGACTGACATATACAAGAATGAGAAGTCCTCGTGTTTTGATGGTTCCGAAAATAGTGTGATATTCCTGCCATCCGGGACATTGTTTCTGATATTACAACAATATTCTTATACAATGCTTTCCAGTGAGCGTTCTTATGTTTTGTGTCCACAGGTGTTCCAGGCTATCATCCAAACACGTTTCCTTAAAGAACTTCTGTTTCATGATGACGAAATGATGCTCAGTAAGAACTATTGAATTGTTGTGTGTCTAATAAAGCCGAAACTGGGCAAATCTTAGTTGTTGAATGAATATAATCTTATACAATTTCACTGGTTAATATGAAGCAAATTCGTCGATTGTTCATCTACTCTAACGTTATATTATGAGATTAGGCTTAAGAGAACGACAAGAGATATAATAAATAGTTATCCTCATGTACAATGGAAATGTTTAACTCATGTGATAGGAAATATATTTTAAAAGTTTCCTTATATGAAGATATATATATATATATCGTCTTACAAATTGTGAAACTGGTCGATTCATAGTTTTGGGAATTAACTGAGCAATTTCATTAATGCACAAAACAGAGAATCAGCCAGTGTAAACTTTCTGTATCTTATATGTTATATTCTTATTTTATGAGATGAGTATTTGTTCATTCTAAAATTATTTAAAGTATTCATATATCTGATGGAGATATGGATAGATATAATGTATATACGGTGTTACATAATTTTAAAATCTACTTATACCTTTGATAGCATTTCAATCAACTCTTCAGACAACAAAGAAGAAAAAACATCGTACATAAAAACAATAAAAAAGTGTGAAATGTGTAAAATAAACCTTAGTTGAAGAGTATTTTGAAGAAGTATGATCCACAGTTGGGGTACATTACATATGAAGTTTTACTCTGTTCGCCAGAATTACATGTAAAGAGAAAAAAGCACTTTTTTTTCTTTATTAAACAGGCAATTCCACTTGTTTCATAAACTGTTTTAATATTTCATAATGAACTACTTTTCAGAGAGGAATTTTAGATGTGGAATGAGCGTCTTATCTGTTTTTTGTTTTTCACATGTGAAATTTGCGAATAAAGAATACGCCCGACTGAAGGAGTATCCCTGTACCACTCCATGAGTCCACATTTTCTTACTAAGGCACGTCTTGTCATTACCACAATACCGTATGTATTTTTTCTTGCCACATAATTTTTAAGCAAATATTTCCTAAAAAATTATAGAATGTCCTAATTTCAAAATTTTGATTATTTGTGACAATCGATTTAGATCATCACTCTGATCAATTAATAAGTCTATCAAACTTTGTTTCCAAAGTACAAACAAGGGAGAATTCTCAGTAGCCACGGCTGTAATTCGATCTCAAATCGTTTAAGAGATGGAGCTATGAGCTAAAAGTTTGTACTTGAAAATAAAACTCAGTCATTCTATGAGCCACTACTTACGATACTAACTCAACCTTCTTATCTCAACACATTTTATACACCGTCTATATTATAATGAAAAATACACACATAAATATGTCCAATTTAAGTATAATATTTGTACAAAAGATATACTAGGCTTTACTATACATAAATTGTATATATGTTTGTATACACAATTTTTTAATCTTCTTACGATCAGGGATTACCGCAGCTTTTATCTGAGCAGTTTTTCACTAAAACCCTATTTTTCTAATTTTCAAATGTTTTTCATTAAAAATACTTTATTGTAAGAAGAAGAAAAAACAAAGTTCAAGTTGAGTACTAAATGAATAAAATATATTAAGCAAAGTTAATGTGAAATTTGCAAATAAAGTCATATTTTATATGCAAGAAGAAAAATGTATTACCAATTAAACCTGAAGTTTTGTATGACAAACAGAAGCAAATAGTACAAGTATAGTTTACTGAAAACACAACTTGTTGTGACACTATACAGCTCAGTCTGTATCACAAACAGGAACAAATAGTACAAGTACAGTTTACTGCAAACACATCTTCTTGTGACACTGTACAGCTCAGTCTGTATCACAAACAGGAACAAATAGTACAAGTACAGTTTACTGAAAACACACCTTGTTGTGACACTATACAGCTCAGTCTGTATCACAAACAGGAACAAATAGTACAAGTACAGTTTACTGAAAACACACCTTGTTGTGACACTGTACAGCTCAGTCTGAAACAGGAACAAATGGTACAAGTACAGTTTACTAAAAACACACCTTGTTGTGACACTATACAGCTCAGTCTGTACCACAAACAGGAACAAATAGTACAAGTACAGTTTACTGAAAACACATCTTGTTGTGACACTAAACAGCTCAGTCTGAAACAGGAACAAATATTACAAGTATGGTTTACTGATAACACATCTTGTTGTGACACTAAACAGTTCAATCTATATCAGAAACAGGAACAAATTGTAGAAGTATAGTTTACTGAAAACACATCTTGTTGTGACACTATACAGCTCAGTCTGTACAACAAACAGGAACAAAATAGTACAAGTACAGTTTACTGATAACACATCTTGTTGTGACACTAAACAGTTCAATCTATATCAGAAACAGGAACAAATTGTAGAAGTATAGTTTACTGAAAACACATCTTGTTGTGACACTATACAGCTCAGTCTGTACAACAAACAGGAACAAAATAGTACAAGTACAGTTTACATTTAACATACCTTATTGTGACACAAAACAGCTCAATCTGTATGACAAATAGGAATAAACAGTACTGTAGTTTACTGAACAACACATCAGTTTGACATAATACAGCTCAGTCTGTATGACAAACAAGGACATCACTGATACAGCTTACTGAGCACACAGATTGTGAAAGTATAGTTTAGTGATATTTTAAACAAAGTCCAGAGACAGTTTTTACAGGATATTATTTTTTTACTTTATAACAACGTTTCGATCAATGTTGTGGTAATAAACAGGTAAACTTTCGTCTATTATACTTAATATTAGAAAGTTGATCGAGTAGTTTATTTCAATTTAGAAAATATATAGGTTGAGACTTGTATTTTGATTTATATTAGGTTTTAGTTCAAGACTAATTAAAGCTTCTTTTATTTTTGTACTGTTAATGTTGTTCTCGTTACATATGTTAAAGTTGCTAATATTGATTCGTTGTGCTGTGTTCGTAAATGGTTGATGGGGAATTCCTCTCTTTAGAGTCAGTGTTTTTCAACTAACTTTCACTACATCATATAAGAATTAATACCAGTTTGAGTGTGCCACTTTTCTCTCTTAATTTTTGGAATATATATTCTCAGATCTGTTAGGTTTGGATATGTATCTTAATACTTTGTGTTTTTGAATTTAATAACTTACAACACATTTCAAAAGTGTAATAATTTTGTTGTATTATTAAATAAGTGTAACTTTTTATGCAATACTCCAACACTTTCTGATGTTTTGTTGTTTTTCAAAATAATAAACATTTCTATAACTCCTCCAGATAAAAGCTTTGAATATCTTTATATTTTAATTTCAAAAGTTAAATTCAACAAACATCAGCTTTTATAACATAAAAAATGTATACAGCCCAGAGAAGATCAGAACGATACATGTTTGGTAACTCTCTTAGAAGGCTCGTTAGTGTTGACTAATGACTTCATCCTTGGGTCTGATTCTTCGGCAGAGAAACGACACTTCAATGAGTACGCGAATATATTCGTCAAGATGATTGTCTACATCCTTAAACAGTTTATTCTAGACGACAATTTATCAAGAGAATTTCTTCTGGGAAGACTCGTTCTCTCGAGGATTTTTAGGTAGAACAATAGCTATCCTGAAAGCTTCCTTACCACAAGCTAATAACCATCGTACTCGTAAATATAAGAACCTGTATTGAAGTTTTCCATCCATTTGAGGTTCCATGTCGATCACCTAAACACAGAAAGGGTGACTTAACTGCACTGAAATCCTTTCCGTTTGTCGCTATCGTAAACGTTCCTACCAAGCTTTATGAGAAATTAACATCATTCTAAAAATGGCAATTCTTTATTATGAGATGTGGTCTACTGGTTAGCGTTCACAATTGTGAATATGACGGTCTATGGTTCGAGTCCAGTTGTCTAAAGTAGCGTTCAGTACTTTGGGGTCGTGAGTGCGTTATAAAAGTGATTGTCAAATACCAGTTTTTGATTACATTAGTTGATGGTGAGCGACGTTGGCTATCTGCCTTCCCTCTGGTCTATCAGTTCAATATCAAGTTCATGATATAATTTGATCGAATAAATATCATTTAGCAAATTAATTAATCAACAGGTATACTGGTTTTGGCTAGTATTGTTGTTAAAAGTAATAACAATGATTGTTGTGTAAAGATGGTAATTGCATTTATTTGATTCGCAACTTATAGATATGGTAAAGGACATAACCGTTATTCTCGAGATAGAAATATACAAATAATTATTCTAATAAAAATACGAATGGCCGACAAGCCGCTCATCTCTTCACATTATCATTGTTATTCACTTATAATAGTGAGTGACAAAATATGGGTCAAAATTGCCACATCTTTTCACATTATCAGTGTTATTCATTTATATTAGTGAGTGACAAAATATGGGTCAAAATTGCCACATCTTTTTACATTATCAGTGTTATTCACTTATATTAGTGAGTGACAAAATATGGGTCAAAATTGCCACATCTTTTCACATTATCAGTGTTATTCATTTATAATAGTAAGTGACAAAATATGGGTCAAAATTGTCCACATATTTTCACATTAACAGTGTTATTCACTTATAATAGTGAGTAACAAAATATAGGTAAAAATTGTCACATCTTTTCACATTATCAGTGTTATTCACTTATGATAGTAAGTGACAAAATATGGGCCAAAATTTCCACATCTTTTCACATTAACAGTGTTATTCATTTATAATAGTAAGTGACAAAATATGAGTGAAAAATTGCCACATCTTTTCACATTATCATCCCGATTCCTTTGTGACTGAAACAATGACAGTTACAGGAAGAAGAAAAAACGTTTTGATTCATTGCAATATGAAATTATATTTGTTTTCGTTTTATTTTACACGACTAATCACTTACAAGAAACCCATCCAGTCCATTAAATTCTTATTTAGTTATTAGCACCTTTCAAATACCGAGTGGACTTATCGGGATAGGCATACACACTCTTTCCATTTTCTAGTGTAAGGAGGACAATACTGTACTAACCCCATAGTCCTTCTGTACATCATTTGTTGTTCCCGAACTTTTATCACGTAGTGTGTTTACACAGATGAATATGCCCTATTTACCCCTATTGTTAACGACTAAGTCAAATTTTTGTAGACAAAAGAAATTTTACCCAAATAAGTTGTACAACTTTCAACAAAAAGGTGTAATTAAAGCTTATATTTATCAAAATAACCTAATGTACAATAAATATATATATACATTAATACAAGTCAAATAAAACATTAGAACTTCGTATTAAAAAATAAAATAAAAACAAATATAGCAAGAAAATAAAAAAGACCGAGCAAACTATTTTGAAAAGTTCTTGAATAATGAAATTATTAAAAGAGTGACTTTTTTAAATATAACGTATTCTTGTTCAAGTGTAATTAATGCAATTATTATATCCAGAATTATTCACAATAAGGTAGTTATTGTTCTTGTAGTATTTCTCAGAAAGCAGGAAATTTTTAAATGTTTAAAATATAAGCCGATAACTAAGAGTAAAAACTTTCAAATGATAATTTATTGAGAATAATCATTCTTTCTTGTGATTGATCGAACACACAGGTTCGGTGTGTGTGTAGCTTCTGTCCATTATTTACCAACTCAAGATCTTATTTATAGAGAAACAAACGATTTTTATAGCAGAGCATTCAAAAACTTTCGCCAGAAACTGGACCTTAGTCATGTTATGTTACATTATTTTTGCTAATTATCTAAATTGTCATACTTACACTTGTTATTAGTTCCATTAGTAAGACTTATTGTTATTATTTTAAACTTTCTTGAATCTAATACTAGGCTAATACTGAGGGATTAAAATTATTTATAAATATCTTGTTGCCCTCTCCATATGTTTTTTAAAGTAGCAGAGATTAGTTAAAGTCGGGTTAGGTCTGTTAAATACATCTCATAATATGTTTAGTATATTCTTGTTATTTATAATACATGTAAGTGGGTTATATGTTAATCCTTATGTCATCATTCTTGCTATTTATTATACGATTCAGTTGTTTTTCATCTAATTTCATATTTATTCTTATATACTACCCATGACCCGCAAAACATTTGCTATAATATTAATGCTCTTCATTGGAATTTTCCTTATTCTATCATTTTCACTCACGTTATTTTAAGATACGCTTTCTTGCAAACATTGTTAGATCGATAAATCTTGATCAATTTGAAAAAAATTACGTGGTCAGAAAAAGAAGTCCACGCAGACGTAACTTTATTTAATAAACTACACGTAAAGTAAAGTAATGGTACTTATAATAGTGTACAGAGTATCAAACAGTTATGAACGTTCAGTGTATGACAGGGTTTTAAAAGTTGAAACAAAGAAACTCACAAAACCGAAGACTAAAAACCCGTACTAAAGAAAAAAGTAGCTAAAAGGTGTTAATAGTAGTCTATGAAACGAACCGAAGCTAAATTATTGCGAAGTAAAGTAAATATGAAGTTGTAACGAAAGCAAACTTAGCTGAATATGCAGAAACGTCTAAATGAGCGTTCACAAAGTGACAAACATATTGTTTTAAAGGAACTGCCCATGCGTAGTTTGGATCTCATTAAGTCGAGAAAACCAAATGAATTTATATTTAGTGTAATGTTCATTTTTTAAGGAAATTACACGTGGGTTAAGTGTTGTTTGTGTTAAATACTTTGCAAATAAAAAACTAAAGTTTAAATAGAAGTCAGTTGTCATGATGCTATCATGTACTGTACTCGTTGCATTAAAAAGTTTGATTAAGCAAAAAACAGGTAAGGTGATTCTGAAATGAAAAGCAAATATACAATATGGGCTCCTCGGACAAAGGCTTTTCTAACGATATGAGATTTGTAGGGTTGATTGCAAAATTTGCAAGAAAAGTTCCGAACAGACAAACGCAAGTGTATTATTTATTATTTTATACCTTCATAAACATTAGTTTTTTTCTATACTATATTGATATTGTCCTGCTATTCAACTCTACAGCTAAACAATAATATGTCATAGTAATTCTTCTCGGATGTTAGGCTATTCTGAAGTTACACCTTTAAAGTCCTTTAATGGGTTTTTATTGGTCATCAGACGTTGTTAGGGAAGGGAGTGTTTGTGTAGATATTAAGCTCGTCAAAGAACATTAAATACACGAAAGTACACGAATCAAACTTTTAGAGTTTATGTGCTCCGTTAGAAAGTTATGCTATTTTCTTTCTATAATTAATGGTTTTGGTTAAAGTGTTTGATATACTTTTTATTTGTTATGATAATTTTGTGAGATTTTATTGGGTTTAATGCTGAAATGTCGTTAACAGCGAGGTGGTGAAACAACACATTCTAATCATTCACGAGTAAGAACGTAATTACAGTATATCTAATTACCTATGCAGTTTAGTTTAGTTTGAACTAAGATGGCAGTTTCCTGTGTTCCAAAGTTAATATTAGATAGTTCGGATAGTGATTAATAACGTTAAATTCTTAGATACTGGCTTAGCAGATGTAACCAAGGTTTATTAAGATGATTTATTAACGTTTTTAAAGTATGGCTGCTGCACCTATTAACAATGAGAACAACTACTAGCTGAATTAGAGAACACCCTTACTATATAAAGTGGGGAATGATTTAAGCTATACAAATATATTATGGTAATTACGGAGACAGCTAATAAAAGGGGCTAGCTGAGGCATGACAATATTTGTGAAAACACTGCAACTGTAAAAAAAAAAACTTTCGTAGGAAACAAATATTCATCATCCTTTTTATAAATGTATCACACTACAATGTCCTTGCTTAATTAAGCTATACCAACGTATCACACTACATCAATGGAACAACAGTCTCTGGCAAATACCTCACAACATCAGTAGAACAATCATCTCTGGAAAACGCCCTCTAGTCAGTAAATCTTAGCATCTGCCTGGGTATCTTATATAATGTGGCAGATTAACCAATCAGAGAAACTTGTCTGTATTTAAATAAGTGAGATGTCATTGAATCTGGAAAACTCGAGTAATACTTACGTCATGCTAGTAATAAAAAACTTACGGACAAAAAGAAATGTGCATACCGAAAAGAACAAACATTAAACATTTTGATTACTTCATACCAGGGTTTGCAATAGTACCGGCGGTACCAGTACTCGAACATCTCTAATCATGTGACTTCAGCAGTTAGAAATTCAACTATTCTTCCCAGTGTGTTCTCGTGGGAATATTTTGTTTTCACATCAAACCAAATTGTCAATTATCTGTAAGCCCACATGGTATGACAACTATGGCAATGAATCAGTTGAAATCTAGGCTTTCTATTGGTTATAAATTTAATGGGAGTCGACCTCAGAAAGATATATTAGCAAATTGTAAATTACAGCATAGCAGAGGTAAGTGTGGAAAGTGATTTCTGAGTTTTCAATGATTGCTCTTTAGTCCCGTAAGATTAAAGAATATAAAAATATAGCTTCAGAATACACAGGGCTGTGAATTTAAACTTCATAAAAGTTGTTTTGGTTTCAATAACGGATTTTCCATAATTTAGCTATTCATTTTTTTCTAACATGTAACAAATTTTTACTAAAAAACTCTTACTTAGATCAAATTATTATTTAGTTTACCACAATGAATGATTTTATTATTATGTCTGTTAACAAAAATACAAACAAACTGAAGAAACGTCAAAGAAATGTCAAACGAATATGCATCCTCATTGATCCTGATTTGTTTTTTTGAAATCTACGTCTTTTAGTTTCAAAAGTACATGTTGTGGTCTTTTTTTTTATGTATTGCGTTATGACGTTTTGTGAAAAACCTGTACGTGGTGTAGAAAAATGAATATCATTTTTGGATTCAGCGTACAGGAATTACTGTCAAACGTGTAAAAATATCAAGACAATAAAACCATTGGAGGAGTGTAATATGGATTGCCAAATTATGGGGTGGACAAAAAATCCAGAAAAGGAGACGGCTTATGAACAAATATCCAAATTCTCACACTAGGGAAATTTGAGGTTGTTTTAAATTATTTCTTTATATAATTTAAACTTAAAATTTATATAATATTAAAATTTGATTTATCATCTATGGTTTGATGTCAAGTTTGTTCCTATACCATGATAATAAAGTGGTTTAATTAAATTTTGAATGTAACTCACTAAGACGTCGTGACATACCTCCCCGTATGCTAAGAGTTAATCACGCGCGCATCTACCTAACGTGCAATCAGTCACGTAGGCACATTCACGTTCTCTTCCAGAGCGTGGGAGTTACCAGTTTCCCATATTTCATGCTATTGCTGATTTTCACGATGAGATTCGCTTATCGACTGAAGTATGAACTCAAAAATACCACATCAAACATTTATAATTCTGTGAAAAGCGAGGCTGAAATACCAGAGGAGGTGTTCGGTCAAAACTCGGAAGATGGGACATGGGATAAGAGATATTATTCTCAACATACGATATACTATAAACCAATACCGGTACCGACTGCAAACCCTGTTTCTTACTTACTTTTACAAACATTTGCCACAAAATCAGATTCATGGATATTACCTCTAGCTAAAAATAGGTTTTACATGCAAGTCCTTCAAATGCACACACACAAAAAACAACTTAGGATTAAAACTTTTTAGCAATTGAACAAAGTACTTATATCTTCATATCAGATAACGATGTCAAGAATTGCAATACATTTTACTGGAACTATGAATCTCGCAAATAGCGATGGTCCTGCCATCTATCAAATGTGAACACGATTTTTAATTCACAATTTTTTTAATTATTTACAATTTAATCAACGTCATTCAAAAATTCAGAACGAACTACTTTTTAATAGGAATCTCTTATAGATAGGATTGCTTAATTCTCTTTCACATTGGTCAAAACTTCTATCCAAAAAAGCTTAACACTTCCAACTATGGATTTAGTTGTTTCAGGTTATATCTGATATTAAGGATTTACTGTAAGACGAGTTAATATACAAAGAAATAAACCAGATGAGTAAACAAAAACAGGTTATTCATTAGTAAAGTTTAATTTTCGATTTCGGAAAACTACCCACTCAGTCCAGCTAAACCACAAGACGCGCATGACTTTGACCAATTGTGCTTGAAAGGACCATTATTGCTATAAAACTCCATTCAATCATACCAGTTTCAAGATTAAATATCTTCGGATACTGAGTACCTTACGGTCTATACATAAACCAAAAGTACCTAATAATCCAAATGTAACGTAGAAACACGTATATAGACACGCGCGCGCGATTGTCATTGCCAACATGTATTGTGGTGCAAGAAATTAAGACGAAACAAAATCGATAAGAAAAATAAGTACTTACTCTAAATTACAATCACAAAAAACTTTTAGCGTGAAAAATGAAAGTAAGCATGCATAAAAGAAATAACATTTCTCTGAAGCCGAACATATGTGGTTGGGTTATATTTTGTAAATAGAACAACACCCACTTTTTATAAACTTAATATAATTATTACTTCGCAAAACGTGTAATAGAGTAGCATCCAAGAAACTTTACTTTTTCTAATGAAATTGTTTTTGTCTTTCCGATTTAAAGGAATTATTCTAAAATGTTTTATTTTGTCTTATAAAGCTTAATTTGACCAATTACGCACTTTGATCATGAAACTTGAATAGCTGACAAATAACAAAAACAAATGTTCAAGGAACGGGTAAAGGACCAATTTTTTTCCTTTTGTTAGTTGGCGGCAAAGCTATCAAAACTGTCTGCTCGTTCCATAATTTTCAACTGCTGACTAGAGGAAAATTAATCTTTCGACAGTACCAACCGTTAACTTTCGAGCTACTCTTTACCCAAGAAAAGTAGGATTCACCCACCCACTACTCAAAAGATGAGCAGGTTCTGTGCTCGATCTCGATCCTGAGACCCAAAGATTCCAAATAGACCATCCTAACCACCATGCCAGGGCTAGTTTAGTGAAGACTTCTTCGTGGTAGAGCGATTAAACCTGCATGCATGACTTATGATTTCATTTATTAATATGTATGGCAAGAAAGCAGTAACACATCTCTGCTCAGCAAACGGAATCATCCATAGAAAGGTAAGCTTTTGTTTATTCTATATTTTAATCATTGTTATGGAAATGCCATGGTTGTTGTGTTTTATTATTGTTGCTGTTTTTTTTTGGGGGGGGTGGATGGGGGAGTGAAGGACAGCTATAAAATTATACTTACTAAACTTTAATTACATGTATTTTTTTTAAATTAAATAGTAATCAAAATATGAAAGCAGCCAATGTTCATTGGAAATTATAATTTACTTTTGTGTAGAGACCCCTCAGTTAAATTAAAATTCAGCAGATGGCAGCAGCTGCAAATAGACAATATTGAACATTTAATATCGAATAGACTCTCTTTGCAAAACAGGATTATTTAAAAAAATAGTAGCAATTCTCAAAAATGTGTTAACCGAAATTGTAAAAGGTTAAAGAAAACTTGTGAAGGTTTATATAACAAAATATGGCGAATAAGTATGTTTGTTTGTTGGAGATTTTTGCGCAAAGCTACAGAAACGGCTGTCTTTGCATAACCATCATCAATTTTGAATTGATAGATTAGAAGGAAGACAACTAGCCAATAGCAACCGCTGTCAACTCTTCGGCTATTCTTAACCGACCGAAGAGTGGAATTTGGCCACAACTCAAGTAGTGCACGCGTTCTTGTAGCAACAGACCACGAAATATTAATATTCGGATGCACAATGCGGGTACGCTAACCACTAGACACATTCGAGCAAGTGGCGGAGAAGAAGAGTGAAATAAAGACACTAACATAATAATTACCCAGGAAAATAATAATTCATCGACCTTCACAATGAAAGACATTTTCTGTTATGCAAACATATTTAGCTACCCCCGTAAATCTAGGGCAGAGAAAGTACGGCAGGGTAATAAATATATATAATAAATTAAGACTAACGTCACATTTTAAAACCCACATTTTAGTATCTATATCTGTTCCCTTCTTGCCTGTTTGGTCAATAGTTTTGATGTATCAAATCTTGTGAAAGACAGTGGACGTAAACCTAACAACTCGTCTAAACGTCACAGTAGACGTAAACCTAACAACTCGTGTAAACGTCACAATGAACGTAAACCTAACAACTCGTATAAACGTCACGGTGGACGTAAGAACGCATATCCATGTATGTAACACTCGGTTAAACAACTTGGTAGACGTAAACCTAAAACTTCGTATAAGCGATACAGTGGACGTAAACCTCAAAATTCGTATAAACGTCACAATGGACGTAAGTACTACACGTCAATATCTGTAACAATCGACAAAACACTCCAGTAAACGTAACTTCTATACATCGCTTTATTCGCTTTCACAACAACATATTGACAAACCATAGCTGAACAGTATTTACTATTTAATTTTATCTGATTAGCTTTGAAATTTGTTGGAGAGTACCTGAGATTTTTAATGTCTATTATAAATATTGAATAACATTTAGTAATGATAAAATAGTAGTAATTAAAACCATACCTTGTTCCATTTTCACTGGCTCTGAAGCATGAAATTTAAAAAGATTTATTATTTTATTGAATTATTATAAAGCCACAGAGATAAAAAATCTGTAGAAACAATATAAAAACACAGCTTACTTCCATCCGTAACTTAAGATAGTTTTTTGTTTAAGTATTATTACTCTTCTTTAATAATCAAAGATAATCTGTTACAAACATTGACTGAAATAAGACTTGATGCACTATAACTTGCAAATACTACGTCCATAGACGGAACGTCTGTAAATGACTTTAGAATATATTAGTTCTATTTTATTTCCCTAGATGGCAGTATGAAAAAAAAGGCTATGCAATATTTTATACCCTACTAACTCAAAACAGATGCACGTTACAAGTGAAGACCTTAATAATTGTTCGTTTGTAACTAAGCACAAAGCTACACAATGGGCTGTCTGTGTTTCTGCCCACCACGGGTATCGACACTCGGATTCTAGCGTTGTAAGTCCTCAGACATACCACTGTACTACTGGGGGCCTTAATATATGTAAGAGAAAGATGATATATTATCTACAATCCAATGTGGAACAAAATGTTGTTGTTTTTTTCGTGTGCATTTAATGTCATTTTGAAATATTCTATGTTTATACCTTGCAGCAGTTTTTATATAAACAATTTTTAATCCCACACGTTGTTACTTTTCTTTTTAGAAAATGTCTGTAACACAAGAAACATTTCGAACGAATTTTTATCCACAGTGACGCTCTAAATTGCAAAGCCTTTGAAAGACAGTTCCGGTTTAATACCTTTTTTGATACAAACTTTCAGTGAATATCAAATCTGTGTAGATCTGAAATTGCAACAGAAAGCAAAGTTTTGTGTTATATAAGTTGTAAGCTTTAGTTAGTAAGAAACGGTTTGTTTTCTTAAATTTCTGTGCTACCTGTCCACAATTTTGAAGAGGTACAGTAAAGGAAACGCAGCTAGTTAATAGCACCAACCACCAACTCTTGGGCTACTATTGGGAGACCGAAAAGGGGGGTTTAACCGTCAGTCACTCTTATAACGCATTCCAACGTGCGGAATGTTTTGTTGTTTTTTTTCGCAGTAATGGGATACGAAGTATGGACACATCTGCTCTATACAGCTAACAACTGGACCGTGTTCGGTAACGGGCTACGAAGTATGGACACATATGCTCTATAGAGCTAACAACTGGACCGTGTTCGGTAACGGGATACGAAGTACACACACATATGCTCTATACAGCTATCAACTGGACCGTGTTCGGTAACGGGATACTAAGTATAGACACATATGCTCTATACAGCTATCAACTGGACCGTGTTCGGTAACTGGATACGAAGAATAAACACATATGCTCTATAGAGCTAACAACTGGACCGTGTTCGGTAACTGGATACGAAGTATGGACACATATGCTCTATAGAGCTAACAACTGGGCCGTGTTCGGTAACGGGATACGAAGTATAGACACATATGCTCTATAGAGCTAACGACTGGGCCGTGTTCGGTAACGGGATACGAAGTATAGACACATATGCACTATAGAGCTAACAACTGGGCCGTGTTCGGCCACAGCAGGAAACAGAAGGCAGTTTTACGACTAATAATTTTCTATAATGGTGAAAGATTGCTTGTTACTGGTGTGTTGTAAGATTTGAATAGCAGGAAAACGAAGACAAATTGTTACATTTCTTTATGGGATGTAGTCTTATGCTGAAAATAATTCTATTTGATTATAATGTGAGGATCGTACAGGATGTAGACTAATAAACATCTTTGCGGTTGGAATAAGTTATAATATTTAATTAACAACCCACAGGAGTACGTTACTGAAAGTAAAACATACAGAATTATTATTCAACTAATTATTCAAGATTTAAAGAAAATATATAATAGCTGTTTGATCTCGCCATAAAGTTCTACTTTCAGTTTAACATAGCTTATTTCCAGATCGATGGCCTTTGAATGAGCGAAACTTTTATGAAGTTCGTTAGTCATCTTGATTCAACTTCAGAGAAAACTCACCTACGCTGAATGAAATAGTTATATAGATTTTTTTCGATTTTAAATCAGATAATGAAACAGAATGCTTCCTAAATTATGTCATCAATCTTCATTCAAACAATTACTAATAATTGCTTTATTCCAACAATTTAATTAAATAAATAGGAAGAGTTTACAAAATATTCACCTGAAAAAATAATTGCCTAAAAAAATCGTACAAGCCAATAACCAACCACAAAATAAAACGTATCCTCGTCAAGCTAAGGAAACTGCTATTTAAAATACAACAGTTTTCTAATCATATCAAAACTCACAATCAAAAATTATTATCCTACAAAAACACAAAATAAAGGATTAATTTACGAAAGTAAGTGCGGTTCGTGCAATCAATCTTGTATAGGCGAAACGGAGAATGGCATGGACATCAGACTAAAAAAAAAAACCCAAAAACCTCTTATGTTTTTGAACACATGAAATAAGTCAACATATATACGTAGATAAATCGACGTTCACAGAAGCTCATAGTTAAAAGTATAAAACTTTCCATAAATAAACATTAAAATACTCATTTCTATCTTTAACAATTTAACTCCCAAGAGAAAACAATCCTCACCATACGTTATAATTTTTGTTAAACTATAAAAAAGTATAACGCTACACATGAGAGCTGTTTATGAATTTCCATGTGTTAGTGTATTGTTCTAATAATCACGTAAACAGAATAACCTGATGACGGTCTACTCCTATGGTTTGAAACATCCTTAATCCAGTATAATAACATTCCTAATGTTAACCGGTATATTCATTTTAATTAATCACGAACTATATCTCCAGAATGTAACTTTATTAGCTCAATATTGTATTACAGCTTCGTCAGTTAAATCTCTAAGCTAATAAAGTTACATTCTGGAGATATAGGTCTTGATTTTATTTAAGTTTATAGAAATGTCTCATAATAAACCCCAGTTTGCGTTAAACAAAGTTAAGAATAATGAACAAGATGATTAATTAAAATAAATAAACGGGTTAACAGTAGGAATGTTATACTGGATTAATGAACTTGTATCATAACAATAGCTCCTGACGAAGCTGTAATAGCGAAATATTGAGTTAATAAAGTTACATTCTGAAGATTTTATTTTAATCATCTCGTTGGTTTGGTTTAGACCTACAGTCCTTTAGTCACCACTAGCAAACTTAGTCTTTCCTTCAATGTAATTCACGTATTAGTGAAGAACCTAACAAATAATAAAATCCTTTAGTTTGCGACATGAATTATCAGGTAATGCTTATTATTCTCGGTATACATAATCGTCACAGAGGTGGAATCGAGAATTGATATTCACTCTAACGAGGTCTACTGACGAGGAAGTGAGGAATTTTTTTCTTCTTATGTAACAATTTTAAGCTCACTGACTTGAGTTCGATCATTAACATAAGAATAAAAGGAGTAAGAGAAAAGAAACGTACTTCCTTTGTGGGAAAGTTAGCATTTCTGAACACAATACATTCTTGAGTACTTCAGGAAATGCGAGGATGTAACGTGCTGGGGATTAGGCTTATACTTAAATAACGAAAACGCTGTGTCTGTTCTACTTTCTCCATTAACACTTATATGTGTCAAGTTGAGACATAGGTTATTAATTTGCGCACAGGAGAAGGTGGTCAACATTACATATGGACGGTTAAATTCGTTGCCAGGTGAAGGTGGTCAACGTTACAGAAGAAGAACTTTGTACGAGCGATCTTTCTCTGAATCTAGACCCAGATCGTTTTTTTATTAAGGGCACTGAAGGTTATTACTGGCGTTGTGTACTAAGCTACAAAGATTAAATTTTATATCTATACGCTCAACAATTGTGTATTAATTTTTGATTTTTTTTATTCCTTTTATTACTTCATAGAGTCAATAGTCAATCTTCCGATTTTTGTGAATATATTTCGTTCTGAGAATAAAATATCTGGATTAGTTATTCCAAACAGGTTTAAAATATTTCAGAAAAACGTGTTTTTGTCACAATTCGTATCAGTAAAACGGATGTAATGGCATTTTATTTGTGGTTAAATTTATTGTAACTAAAAGAAAAGAAAAATGTGGTTAGTTAGAAAAACATAAAATCAAAACATTAAGAGAAAGAAGAGTGGTTAAAAATAAAGTAAAAACAGAAAAGTTCCATATCGCAGAAATGAAATCAGAAATATGCGATGGACGTTTAGTAGTTTTTAGTAACATTTTAAGAAATCCAGTTAGTAAAGTGGCTTGAAATAATATGACGACGTAATGTATATAAATCAATACACTTGTTAATTTTAATTTTTAATTTTACAATATAGTCTACAAATTTACATAACTGAATATTTTTTTACAGTGTGGTTTAAAATTTCTAAGTGAAAAAGTGATAAACCACCTAATAGCGTATACCAATGGTTTTCAGCTTGTGGTTCCAGAGGTATGTGGAGATTTCCCTGCGAGTATGTGAAAACATTTGAAAAACATTAAAAAGAAAATAAACCTGAAAAATGGAAGGCAGTCCATACACGATTGTTATTTCTCACGTTACTGACCTGTTAGTTACGCGATTGTTATTTCTCACGTTATTGACCTGTTACATACACAGTTGTTATTTTTCACGTTACTGACCTCTTAGTTACGCGATTGTTATTTCTCACATTACTCCTCTGGTCAACTCTTAAAATCGAGATTGTGAGTAGAAACGTCCCGCTTTTCAACCATTTAAAACTCGAAAGTATAAACTAATAATTATATAGTTTTGTTCTTCTCTTGTTGGGACATTTTATTACAATAGTCTCTTTAAAATGTACAATTTGAGTATTTTTTTAAATACAAGTTTCACCTATATTCCCATTACGTTTAGAATATCTTGCAATTATAACAGAAAAAACAGGAATAAGTTTCTGTACTGAAAGCCCAAAACCAGACATTATCGAATGTGATTAAAACTAAAACTAGAGTAAAAGTATTCTAGAAAATTGATCTCACTACAACGTACT